TCTAAAATTTGCTACTACAATCCATACAGGCTTCCCATCCCTCTGTTGGTCCAATTTCAACTAGCTTCTTCAACTTTTCAGAGTAACACCACCACAAAATGTCTACTTCTCCACAGACACAGTTTTGAGGAGAAAGACAACACTGCAATGAGAACGTTGCCCTGGCATTCTGCTTTCCTGGGCATGTCAGGGAGGTCCTATTTTGTAAGGTCTCTGGGGCACTGCTGATATGGGCAGTGGGCACAGTGGAGGCTACCCAGCACACCTTCACTGGGACTACAGCACTAGGACTAGAGGCACTGGCAGCTTCAGGGCACCACCAACAGATTCTCCCCTCTAAAGCTTCGTCTCCATTTTTCGGTTAATGTAGCAACAAACCGACACAAGCAAAAAGTCACGGAGGGAGCACAGGGAAACCACTGGATTGGGAGGTCGTGTCCGGAGAAATAAACCCTGCAGAGCATGACGGAGTAAGGAGCAACCACAAGTGCAAGCCACGCTTTCATTTACTTTCCTCCTAAAGGCGCTCAGTGACTGCACTGTAACAAGCAGCTCGCAAGCAAAGGTCACTTCATTTTGCAACTGCAACAAAACCTTAAAAACCCCAAAACTTACTGGCTATCTAAAGACAGAGCATGTTAGAGACATGGGCACATGACCATTAGCAAACAAACCTCTGATGGTTGGTTACGTGTTCTGCTGCTTTGCAGAGATGATGTCACCCATGAAAGGGATGGGATGACTTACCCAAGTCACACAACCAGTAAGCATCACTGGCAGGCCAGGAAGACTGCCTACATTTACTAACTTCCAGTCCTGGGGCTAAACCACAAACTCCAATTCATGTTATTTGCACTGAAATAGGCGGATGAAATGCCACCAGGGTTGTGACTAAACAAGTGTCTCATACCTCAGCAGTAAATTTAAATTTAAACTCATCCACTCCCTAATGTTGAACTTTTGATGCACCTGTGTAGACACGAAGATAGTCTACATCTTTCCAAACCAAAAACAGGCCGAAATCCTGGATCAATTTACATCAATTCCAAAATACTTAAAGCAACCTGACTAGCTTAAGGCAGACAGAGGGATGTGGACCCCACCCTTACATGGCCATCCCAAAGCTCTTTTTCTTGCTTGAAGCCTGGAAGCTCCCCCCTACAGCTCATTCACAGTACAAAGAAACCCTGACCAAGGCTCTTCTTTTGAATATCTAGATCGAGGCCTTTTAATGGCTTTATTCTCAAAAGGGTTGAGCAGCCAACTAATTTGAGTGCTTCAGTATGGCATAAGTCCATTAAAACAGTTCAGACAATTTCAGTGCTATTACAGCAATTTTCACAGCTTTATTCAGTGGGCACAGTAAGATGAATCTGCATTAAAAACAAGTATTAGCACTTTCTGGGAATCCAACTCCACAGAAGCCCCAAGCATGCTGCCTTGGTTTCAAAGGATCATCTGATCCTTGCAGCTGAGCAGCCCCCTGCAGATGTCAGGCATCCCCCTGCATCATTACTGGGCTCTCTTTTCTCAACCAAAGTTGACAGCTTACGACACGTGGCAGATTCAGCCTTTTTTTAATTCTCAAAACCAAATAAACTCAAATTAGAAGATTTGGCTTATTTCTTCCCTTGCCAGGCCTTGTAACACAGAGGAGGATAGAACACCAGATAGATGAGTTGTTTTTTAAAGAACAGCCAAAAAGGAAACAGCTGAAACCACGAATTTCAGGCTGCCACCCCAACCTAGCAGAACTTCCAAACTGCCTGTCACAAGACATTAGCATTGTGTTCACTTTCTTTTCTATTCAAGTTTCTTATCTTCCCTCTCTTCACCCTATTTTTACTTCATACGATCTCTAGCTACAGCTATGGAGCATAAGTTCATGACATTAGCCAGACAATACATTCTGAAGACTACACTGCACTGTGATCATTCAGCATTTTTTTCCATAACGAGTTCCGTCAGCTTTGCTGCCCTAACAGTCATGTCTCCTCCACTCTGGAGGGTTCCCATCCCCTGTGGGTGCAGTTTTGGGGAAGGACAACAAGCAAGGAGAAATTCCCAATTGAGAAAAACACTGGCAGACAATTATGTTTGCTCCAAACCCAACAGAATCTGTGAGATACAAACTTGGGTGACTCCAGAACAACATTCCAGTCTTAGAAAGTAAACTGTCAGTTAAGATCGACAACCTTGAATTTCAAATCACTCAATATTTGCCCATTTTAATAATAAACAATAGTTACTGCTTCAGCCAAATATGCTGCACCACCTGGCCTTTACTGCTGTTGGTGACTGAGAGCTTGAACACAGTATAATAGAAAAACACGAATTAATTCCTACAGCTCCACTCTGAAGTTTGTAAGTAATGTCATCACTGTTGTGTTGTGAAGATAAGGCAGATGCATAAGGCAACTTCAGTCACTCTGCACTAGCCTCACTACACTAAACTCAAGGGTAAGGTTTTGGTTCTGCTGAAATCAATTAGAAAAAGGTCACAATCAAAACTAGTCCTGACCAAAGACTGTACACCACAAGCGAAATGGAAGACACAAAAGTCCATGAATGTAACTAAATTTCAGGGGGGAAGTTTGACTTTTTTTTTTTTTTAAAAAAAAGACGTGATTTATTTTTTACCTTTTTTCTACACTCCACAAGCAGAAACCCCAAAGCAGCAAGAGCCCTTGGAACCCGTGTGCAGTCAGAAGTGCAGTTGAGCAGAAAATCATCTGCCTCCTCACAGGTCCATTAGAGACCACAGCACCAACATCAGACTTTGTCCCTGAAGAACTTAAAACCAAGGTAAACAAGCAACATTCCTTGCAAGTTTTAGAATAAAAACTCCTTCACTTAGCTCCAGATCAGGTACCATGGGGCAAAGGAATGTCCATTACTGAGACAACAAGCTCTTACCATTTTAGGCTAGGCACTTTGCTAATCCACACAGAGTGCTACAATCCTGATCAGTAATTTTACACTGCCCACCCAAACTCCAGGAGCCAAGCACTTAGACTTGCTGCTCCTGCTGGAGCCCAAAGCCTGGTGTGGAAAGTTACAACAGATCCCGTGCTAGGAAAGCTTCTGGGAAGGCAGAAACACTCCCAAAGGGAACAAACATATTCAGAAAATTAGAGCCAGAAAAACTTATTTTTTAAAAAATAAAGTCTTTTTCTTCTAGAGCCAAGAGCAGAAAACAGAGATCACTTCACCTCTGCCTGCACCACTATCTCTTGGAATGGAAACCAGAGCGGAGAGCTGCTGACCCGGAATCCCGCAGCACCGCGCGAAGGGTACAGCCGCCGTTTCTGGAGCAGCTCGCTGGGGGTACGGCAATCATCTGGAAAGAGCTATTGAACCCTACTCTCAAAAGTGACCTCTGCACGTCACAAGGCCACAGCTATGCCTCCCTGCTAAGTTGCACAGAGATCCTTCTGTAGATGCGGATTTTCCATCCACCCCCATCCCTAGGAAACCAGCTGGTTCCGATTTTTGTTCCTTAGCTTGGATTTAAAAGAACAAAGAAACCCCTTCTTGAATTGCGTAAACATACAGAATGTAATTTAACTTGGCACTGTAGCATTTAAGCCCAGCATGCAAAGAAACGGCCAAGGTCTCTCTGTCCTCAGTGTGTTTAGAAAAACCCAGCTCCAAGCATCCATTTGTTTGAGTAACCAAACCAGATGTGCAGTAATGAACTAGCTGGCTTATTCTGGAAGGGCTGTCTTGGTCACTTGGCTTTCTGTTATCACTAAGACTAGGATATTAAATTGCCATGTTCAAGTCCCACAAAACACTGTGGACTATTACAGCACACATGAGCTAGTGCATTCTGATAGAATAATGACATAAGAGTTACAATATATCCAAGATCCAAGCACTGACCTGTCCAAATGCTTGTTTTAGGTGAAGCTATGGATATTTCTCAACAATATCCTATTCCAGTTACTGACTGAAGCAAAATTTGAACTTCCACGGCCCTCATGCAAGCTTGTTTAGTGCAGTGCCTTCCAGAATCTTGCTCACTGGGCAAAAGAACAGCAAATATTGATGGAAAAACTGAGGCACCTAATTTTGACTAGACTAATAATATTTTTTTCAGAATAAAGGTGTAAGACTACTGAGCAGGACAGGGGGAATTAGCTCCCTGAGGGAGTTATCTCCCTGACAGATCCAGGGGCTCATCACCAGAACTCATCATTACTTTGCTCATCACCAGAAGTGATGGGTGGACATCCACAGTTCAATCCATACATTGTTCCATTAGAACAAACTGTGGTTAAAAAAAAAAAAAAAAAAAAGCTGCATTTAGCTTACCATCTATAACTTGCATTCATCTGTAAGAACTTGAAAAGCATCCAGCTGTCCCCAGTGAACACAGACTTTAGCTCTTAACATCACCTTTCAGTAAAACTGGGTAATAAAACATTATTAATGATCTTGTGTTGAAGTCAGTGCCATAGTTTTTGAAGGGGCTTTCTGTAGATGAAAGTGCAGTAAGTCTTCAAGGGAGTCTACTTTGTGTTACTCAGTAAAAAAACAACAGAAAACTTTGTACCACTGGAGTTCAGCATTTGAAATTCAAGTTGAGTTAGAATTTCATTTCTTTTCCGAAAGACAACTTAGCACAACTGGGGGGAAAAAAAAGGTACTTTCATTGAATGAAAGCCACAGGCAGGCACTGTCCACTACTAACTCTACACCTGCTGAAATAAGTGTCCTTTTCAGAAGAAAACACTGTTCTGCCTTTGCTCAACAATGCAGCTGACAAAACCACCCTCAAAGCCAGATTTTGAAATTAAAACAGTGCCACAACACGTAGACAATTAATAGTCCTCCACCTTAGCTACTGGGAGCAAGGACTGAGACCAGATAAACTTGTTTTCCTTGTGATCACTAGCTCTATAAAAAGGCTGGCAGCTTCCTAGCATTAGTCAGTTAAAAGGTTTATTCTCTGTGTGGTTCTTCTACAGCATAAAGCCTGGAAAGGTTGAGCCAGAATGTCTTCTGGAGGCTTTCTGAAGGAAATGCAAACCATTGGCGAGAAGCTCCTCCTTAAACTCCAGAAACTGCCCAAGGCTGACCCAGTGGAGATTGTGGCCTTTTGTGTGGTTCTTCTGTTTATTGGTGAGTTTATTGGTGGAGGCAAAGGGGTGTCAGAATGTCTCTTCTCTTCTACAGGGGCAGCTTGCTCCACAATCTCTGTTGGTGGGTTGGTGGTGTTGGCAGTTGTCTTCCAGGCTGTGCTCTGAGGCACAGTTTAATTTCTAGGTAATTTTTTAATACTTAGTGTGTATCCCTACATACATGCAGAGCATAACAGGCAACAGTCCAGCTTTCCCCAAAGCTCTCGTATTTAAGTATTAATTTAAACAGCAGTATTTTAACCAGCCCAGAGCTGCTGCAATGTTCTGATGCACAGGAGATGGTTTATGACAAATGGCATTAGGGCACCTCACTGCCATGGAAGATACTGACTGTCGGAGTGCCATCCCTGTGCTTAGTTCAGGGAAGCCAGTATGCTTCAGATGAGCCTATTTATTCTCCTCTGGTAACAGCAAGATCCCTCCTGCTGCTCTGTGTGGGGATGGCATGGAAGGAATAACAAAGAGTTGCTTGATCGAGGGGGTGAATTTTGTTTAGACAATGGGAAAACAAGCAGGAAGGCAGGCAGGCCCTCCCCCTCAGAGAGGTACACTCTGCTGCCAGCCAAAAGGAAGGGTGTGGATCCAGGCTGGACACTCCTCCCTGGGCTGGAATTCAGGAAGACACACCTGCTGCTTTATTTTTTTTCTTACCTACAGCTAGTTCCCCACAGGTCCCATAACTTGGCAGTCCAATGCCAGACTTTTAAGGAACACACACACACACACACACACGCACATGCATGCACTCTTACATGATTTGCAGGATTAAACATGAGATCCTCTTCTATTCCAGGCAAACTAACATACCCCTTCCAGCACCAACCATTAGGCCTAGTGTACAATAGCAGCAAATTAGCCCACTGCTCTGTGAAACAAACCCCTACATTTGAAGTATCTGTTTTTTCAATACAAATACAGAAGAGTAAAGCCAACTCAGTCATGAATATCTATCCTCATTAAAGGGTACACTGCTCTCACTCTTCAGAAATGCAACAGCCAGTTTGACTAACCAAATCCTCTCAAGTTGCTTGTGACACAGAAGGATCCTTTCCAGGCACACAGCTCTACTTAATTACTGCATGTCATCTCTGAAACAACAGCTCATTAGGCAGGTAAAGATATACCCCCACATGGTTTGGTACATAGCTCTGAAGATCATGAAATAACTAGTAAAGATTTTCCAGATTAAAAGAGTAACTAATACAAGGAAGCAGGAACTTAGGAAGAGGAGGGAGGTTGGGGATCTAGGGGAAAAAAACATATCAGAAAGAAACCAGGCTTTTTTCATTCTGCTGCTCACCAAAGGACTTAGAGGAGACACGGTTACTCTGCTGTGATTGCTCCCATGTCATGAAGCAATATCCTTTGCCTCTCTTCCCAGTCACTGTTCTGGTGCTGATGGTCATCGCCTGCAGTTGCTGCTGCTACAGCTGCTGCAGCTGTGACGGACGCCCCGACCGCAGGCGCAGGAAGATCCAAGTCCGCCCCACTGCCCAGTCATGAAGTGCAACAGGAGGTCACACAACCTGCTATCAAGGCCATGCGTGGACACCGTGATTCAGTCCTATGAGAATGACTTTCTACACTAGCTCACTGACAATGGCAATAACAATATTAATTAATATGACTCAGAGGACCACAAGTCACAGCATGGAATTCCTTCTGTCTGTGACAGCCACTGCCGGGTCCGTGGTGTGACCAGAAAGGTAATGCCTCTTTACCATCGCTGTCTCCCTCTTCTGGGGTGGGGTGGGGGTGCACAGACACACACTGCTGAGAAAACAGACGTGCTTTCTGAACGACAGCCCCGGTGCCGAGCCAGCCAAGGATGCCCTTTGTGAGCGTGCAGCCACAGCCCAAAGCAGGGCACACGCGCATGGCCACGTGCCAGGCAGCGCCTCCTCCCTTCACCGGCTCGTCCGCACGGATGGTGCTGGGCGCTAGCAAAACCCACTGACATCACGGGGAGGTTCTCGTGCCCAGAACATCCTGGAGCAAGCCCAAACCTGCTCTCTCAAAAGCCACCTGCCACAGACACGTTTAGCTGAGATGTCTGCTGAAAACAACAACCTGTGGGCCTTCTGATCCAGACATGCCAGCTGAGGCTCTGGGTACAGCTGGCAACAAACACTCCCTGCTTTATTACTATGATGTGAAATTGCCAAAGAGAAAAATCAGATCACGTGCAGTGCTTTTTGTAAACAGAAAGATGAAGGCAAAAGGGAAAAACTCACCAATGCTACAGCTTCATTTGATCATTCTGCTGCTGAAAGTGCTCCCTCCCCACCTTGTGTGTGGTTCTGCTCTTCTGCCTATTGCAGGTGAACGGTCCTTACAGAGCATGGGAGTTAAACAAATCCCTGTCCTTACTTGAGGGACCTGTGGGCCTGACTCCCTGCACTGTGTGCAGTTTATATGCTGCCCAAGGTATGTTTATTAGCACACACACGGTGTTTCAGAGGAGTGACAGACAGTATGGTAATGGTCACTTCAGGCTGTACCTGCAGCAGCTGCCAGTGGGCACTGGGACAAAGCAGAGCCAAGAATGGGCTGTATGGCTGCAGTTAATGAGTACAAATAAATCCCTTTTCCATGCTGCAAACACTGTGTGTGTTTGGTTTACACCTTAGTGAACTTCAGAAAGGGATTTAGTCCAAGGCTATGGCTCAGGCCACGATTTTCACAGCTGGGACAGCTGAACAGAAAAGCCTCATACTGCACCTAACTCTGTGAGCTGCTGGTCTTTCAGCCCCAAATGGGAAAGCAAGCAATTTTATGAGAACATATAGAAAGTTACATGCATAGAGATAAGTCATCTTCTACCCTGGTATTCCAACATCTAAGTGTAGAGGAGTCAAGTGGTATATCATGTGTATATACCATCAAGATGGAGACAAAAGAATCATCATGTTTACAACAGTGGGCTTTTAAATATTTTTCATACTTCAGAATGGACAAAACAAATGAAAACTTCGTAAATAATCTTCTTTTTTTTTATGCCTGCACCCAAATTAGTAAAAAGCACATTACATCAGTAATTTCTCGTGTATTTAATGTACTTTACTTTTTGCAAAGAAACTAGATTCAGGTGTTTTGCATTTTTGTACTGCTGCACTTTGGAATATACCTGCAGCCAACAATACAGAGAACAGTCTAAAAATCAAGAGAAAAAAATAAAAGTTCCTCCAATTACCAATGTTACTTTTAAATTAAAAGAAAAACCTTCCAGCAGAAGATGAGGCTGTTCCTCAGAAAGTAAAAATCTGAGCCCCAGCTTGACAGCTGCCAACAGAACACTGCACAAGTACGAGCCACCCCATGCACAGTTACACTAACAAAGCACTGGCCTTAATTACGCTGTCCCAAAGCTTCACTCCCCCCAGTACGTTAGGGAAGGATGAGCTTAAGTGTGGCATCAGTGTACTGTAATCCACATTCAGAGATGCACCACACTGACCCCTCTGTCAGATAGGTCTTTGCTCATGACTCTTACAAACGAGGTGCAACCGAGGTGTCCCAGGAAGTCTCAGAGCCACTTTTGCAGGGAGACAGACTCAACAGATGTTTTTGTATCTAAGTGAAGTCACGAGAGCTGGGCAAGAACAGAGCTTACTTTCTTTCCTAGCCTGTGCTAGACAGTGCCAGCTACAGGAATTAACAGAACCCTATTGAGAAATGTTTCAGCAGCATGGAACCAGCCAGTGCTAACAGTCGGGAGGAAGCTCAGCAGGCTGGAAACACACCAAGGACTGACAGGTTGCTGTCACTAGGAACAAGCTGCCAGGCCTTATCTCTCCAGGAAAAGCGACATGTCTCCCAGCAGTGCTACAAGTGAAACTGCTGACAGATACCAGGCAAGGGGACAAGAGAAATGGCTCCTGTCTTATCTCAGCCACTGCAAATTCCTGAATTAGAAACAGAATAAGCAAAACAGTGCTAAAAAAAGGAAAGATAAAACTAAGCAATTGTCTAAAGAATTCAGGCAGCTTTTGGGAGCACAGGAGCAGCCACTATGTAGAGGAGGGGTCCCTGGACCAATTTCTACATACATGCCTAGACCTCACAGGCCTAGTGTTCTGCTTTGTACCCTTTTGTACCGCTCGACTCTGCTGGACTATTCCTGCACTTCGGACTTTGACAAGCCAGTGCTTGCCTGGCCAGGGTCTGCTGCCTTCTTGAATATCACAGATCAGGTTGGCCCAAAAGGTGCCCAGAAAATCCCATCTTACTGCAGTTCTTCAGTTTCTGTTGGCTAGAAACATGCCAGTCTCCTGGCAGGTCCCTGCTCACCACTCACACAAGCTTTTGTGGTTTTGGCTTCAATCGTTACCCACACCAAGGGACCTGGAATGCCCTGAGCACTAGGGAGGATGGATCCTCTGTTTCAAAAAGCAGAGGGAGATTCTGAAGAGCAAAGACTAAGGTGAGACTCAAACACAGCAACTTCTGTACATGTTGTGAAAACCTGAGTGAGCCTAGAAAGCACTACAAGGGAAGAGTTACTTTAGTCCTGATGATACAAGTGTTGAAAGAGTTCCTCTCCAGGGACAGCGAGGGCAGCCTCACCAGCAGAAGTGGTTAAAGTCCTACTGATGACTTAATGGAATAGTTCCTATTCTGTAACATCATCCCCCTGGTTTCAGTGATTTGCTTGGCTTGTGACAAACAAATTTCCTTTTACGCGTGCGCAGTCTCGCACACCACACTCTCCTCCCCTCCTACCTCTCTCCAGCACCATCTCTCTGGCCTACTTCAGTTAGGAATGCAACAGGGAGTCTGTTTTATTGCAGCTAACAGCAGAGCAAGGCTCTGTAAAGAGTTTATCTACCCAAACTGTCATGGTGATGTTTGGACTGGAGGGCAGTCTTGTTCACAATCTCATTTTAGACATGGCAGTCTCCTCATAGAGCTTCCAATACAGATCCAGTCAGGATCTACGAAAAGCCCTCTTCTCCCCCCCACAACCTGCAGCCTTGCCCAGTCAGAGGACACAGTGGCCTTTACAAGCACTGGAACAGAAGCATGAGTGGATAAAGCCATGGAGAGGAAGACATGTCTGAGCAACAGCTGAGCTAGGTCTTTTGAGTTAGGCTTCAGGCCTTCGATTAGATTAGCCACACCTTTGGCAAGTCAGCTGTTAATGATTTACTGCAGTACAAACAGGCACCTTCACACTACCTCTACCAGTCACCAGGTACAGCAAAGGGGTCCCTCACCACAAGCCAAGATCTTTGGAGGGGGTGCAGAGGAGGCATCAGAAGAAACGCCTACTACCAACACAGCATCTTCAGGTATTTATAAAATCAGATATAGCTCCTATTTCAGGAGATGAACTGTGGTTAGCAAAAGGGATGGGAACTTTCTGGGGCTTCTGACTTTGGATCTACAGAACTGGTATCTAGGCTGCCTCCTTTTTAAAGGCTATCCAGAACAGCTGGCATGGCCTGTATGGCTGTTGTTTAGAGGCTGGACATGGTGATCTGCCAGCATTCTGTAAAACAAAGCAGCAACTTGATGCATTTGGCTCCTGAGAAAACTTCAGCAAACTGAAGTGTGAGCTTGTGCTCCATCCTTGCTAAGGATGTAACACATGTTTAATCCTTTTTCTTATAATAGTAAGGACACAGACATAGGCAACAGCAAGTCAAATTTTCAAAAATAACAAAGATCTCTTCCTGTATTATGTTGGCACAATCATATTGGAGAGAAAGTGTGAGAATCCCTCCTTTCCCTTGAGAAGAAGCAGGGAAACTTCAGTGAAACCACAAGTTGTTTGCAAAGAGATGCTGGATGTTCTTTAGAAAGCTGATAGCCAAGTCATTATGCAAAGCATTAGTGAAAGAGCAAGTGCGTAGAACCCACTGAGATCCCAGTTTAAATTATTGCTGAACTTAAGTACTTCATGAGAGAAAAACTTAAGCTTCTATTGCAGAGTAACAGAAAGCATTACTACAGCAAACTGTTAACAGGAGACCTTTTATGTAACTAGTTTAAGCCCTATGAGAATAACAAGTTGTACATGAAGATCTTTGCTTGATGGTGGTGGGGCTTTTGTCTTTTTTGTTTGTTTGTTTTTAAGTAAGTGTTCGTTTAATCTCCAGTGTGTTCTTGGAGTTTAAGTGCCCCACCCATTCTTAGAGATCTTTCTAATGGTATCGAGCAAGTTCTCCCATTGAACACTTGTCTTTCATGTAGAGGCTGTACAGCTGACAGAGATGAAGGATTCATACTGACCGTGCTGGAAGAGACACTAGCGTAATATAGAATATGATTAAAGTAAATCTCAGCTGCCCAAATCTTGTAAATGCAGAAGCTTTCCTCTTCACTACTTTACATCTCTGTAGATCTCCTTGTGAAACTGGCTTCCAGTATCTTTCTCCTGGCTCACGTTCCCATTCCCCTCCCTTTTGGAAGCAGGGTGCCTGCAGGCACTGCCCGGGTGCGTGCCTGTGCTGGTTTCAGGACTGGTTTCAGAGCATAGTGAGGATACACCAACATCTGATACTCTTCTTGTCTGCCTCCAGCAGGATGGGAGCCAGCATGTCATCTGTGCAAGAGGCATCCTCAGCTCTGCAAGGCCTAAAGAGACTGATTCTAACAAGTGACTGGGCTCTTGGAGGGCTAGTGGTGATTGGCATCTTCTGTCTTGTTTTTGTTGCTCTCCTCCTATTTGCTGCCATCTTTGGCTGCTGCTCATCTCCAAGGCACAGACAGAGCGGCACATAAACCATGAAGCATAGAAGCATTATTTGGAGCCCTGCAGCTAGGCAACAATCAGCACAGCTACAACCTGATTGTGTTGTTCATAGAAAGCTTTCTCATCTCTCCTTGAGTGTTTTTTTCTCCCACTGCAAATTTTCTGCGTCGAGAGCGACGTGCCAATGGCAGCAAGCTGTTCTGCAAGTCCCTGACAAACTCAATACATCAGGCTGCCTGTATTCAGGAACTGAGGGACTAGTCAGACAAAGTCAACACACCTCTGCCTGATTTTCATCTTTCAAGCAGAACAACAGGTTAGATGTGGTACGTGGTCAGCCACCACCTAAAACTGATACAGATGTCTTCTACTGTTGCAGTTGCTTGTTTTTTTCCACCTTGCAAATGGGTAACAGGAAACTCTGACCAGCAAAAGCTTTGTCTAAATCCACTCTCCAAAAGCAGCTTATACCATTGTTCTCCTGTCATACTCAGACAATAGCCTAAACATACTATGCAAAAACTTGCTTGCCAATGTACAAGTCTGTCTTTATTTGTTCTTATTTAGAACCTTGCAAGGTCAGAGTTTCAGGTTTGCTTTCGCTGTTTGGATAGTGAATAGAACTGTATGAATTCAAAATGTAAAAAGAAATGAAGCGTGGCATTCCCTTCCATAGCACCAGCCTCCTGTACAGTTATGAGCAGGGAAGCCACTCAGTGGTGCTCCAAGATGGGATGCATGCAGCATGTTACACAGTAGGAAGAAGGAAGCAAACTGGGGGAGGAAAGAGTATGGAAGATGCAATTTCTAACTAGGTCAGTGAGATTCCCTTACAGAAATCTGTTTTATATACCCAGTGAAATCCTGTTTCCATTACTATTCATCTGAACAAAGGAGAATGTTTTCTCTCTGTGCTTGCTGAGTTATTTCCTCACTGCTGCAGTGCAACTCTAGAGAAGGTCCTCACTTCAGGAAGCAGTCAGGCTCTTAACAGCGTGCACGAAGTGGGAGAGGCTGTAAGGTGGTTCTGTGGAGCCTAACTCATGTCCTCACTGGGACACCACCCTGGAACGTCCTGTGAGTGCTTCTGGCTTGTGCAAGGTCAGTTCAGTGATCCCAGTCCAGTTCTCCTGGCACTACTGTCCATTCCAAGAAACAAGTTACTACTAACTCTACTGATAACCAGCTTAGGAGTCAAGGAGCAATAGATACCAAGACAAGGTCTCCTGAGGTTATCATCTAACCAGAGAGATGTGGCTGCCTCTCAGATTATACAAAATCCAGACCCAAACAGCCATCTGGCCACTCTTGCTGTGAGCTGGTAACACCAGAAGGAGCAGAGCTGCTTAGCCAAGTATCCACTGATCAAACTCTTACAGCAAGAAGCCTTCTAATAGCCACTACCCAGAGTCACCTTGACTTTGGGCAAAAAGCACTCCTTCAGGTGCCCCAGGACTACTCAGTGCTGTGCCATACTTCAAAACAAGCAAAACTTTCCCAGAGCAACCCAACAAAACCAAGATTTGTTTACCAAACTTTACAAGAAGAGCACATGTTCACCAAGGCATCAGAGAAGAAGCACATGTGACATCTGCACTGAAAAAGTTGCCCTAGACTTAGGTGAAAAAAAAAATGAAATAAAATGCAGCCTTGAAAGCAAGACACATGTTGACCATTTTCAGTTAGTGAACACAAACTGCTGCAGAATTATAGCTCTGATATCTTAACCAGCACAGTACAGCAATTAGTGCAATTACAGCTTACAAGTCATGAACTAAACCTGAACAATGCACGTTGCGGTTGCTAGCCTGTGTTTAGATTGGGCATGTCCATAATTTGGGCTTGTTTCTGAAACATTCAAAGCTCCATCAGCTCCTTCTAAGGTCAATGAGAATCACGGATACCTAGTACTTTGCAGAACAGAGCCCCAGAGATTTAGAGAAACATTAAATCTAAATGCTTCCATCCCAAGCTGATTACACTGTTTGTCTCCCTAGAAGAGAGATGATGTAGTGAAGGAGGAAAAAGGCAAAACAAAAGCAAATGTAACTGTGTTAACCCATCTTCAAAGATAGAACACAGTAAAATTCATAGCCAGAGGAGTTACGGTTTAACACCACCATCACTTGGTCAAGCTCCAAGACTAACATCTCAGTTAACTCAGAGGTGGGAGCAAGCTGAGAGATATCTCAGGGACACCTTCCTCAGGGACAGCAAAATATAAGGTGATTCTTTCAGTGTTTTCTTTTTCCTGGACATGCAAGATTTCAGCCATGACTGCCTCGGAAGGGATAGGGTATGGCTTCCCCAACATTACACTGTATTTGAAAGAAGTGCACTCACCCCAGCTCCTCACAGAAGTTCACAATGGCATCAAAAGCTGTCATCACAGCTTTGTCAGATTCTTTTAAGGTGCCTTTTTTTTCCTGAAAGTAGGAAGGGACAATAACTATAGTCTTCAATTTAAAAATAAACAAGGTAACTCTAGTGCTGACCACGTCCAACTCGTGACCGATGTGGCAAAGAGCTACAGACACCACCTTGTCTCTGCTCCACACTTCTGCATACCCGTGCCTCCCTACTAGAGCTGGAGCTGGGTCTGGCAGCCCTCTCCCTTCTGGGGTCCCTTGAAACAAGGCTACAGACAGCTCAAGACCCAGAAAAAGCTCATCTTTGCATGTTCACAGGTTACTGCAGGCAAACCAGACCAGAGCAAAAGGCAGGTGGCTACTACTCTGCAGAGCTTACCTGGATGTTAGAGAGCTCCTTCTTAATCAGGAAGCTGACTTGATCCCGGTCATTCCTTGAGTAGTAGAGGCGACAGCAGGATGGCTTCCCATCTCTCCCAGCTCTGCCAGACTCTTGGTAATACCCAGCCATTGACTTGGCAATATTCCAGTGGGCAACAAATCTGCATGTGACAAGAAAACAGGAAGCATAAGGCTGCAAGTTTCTCAGACCACTGCCTACACAATTGTGCTGTTTATGGACATCAACAAGAGTAAAATATAGGGCAGCAAAACCATAAAAGACAGAGGATTTAGCAGAGCAAGGGCTTTTCCACACAGAAATTTAAATCCTCTTAACATGAGACAGCAGGGAAGCAGCAGAGCTATAAGAAAACAAGTGCACCTGAACAACTTGTGAGCAGAACAACTTGTGAGCGGAGTCCCCATCCAAAAGGACAGAAAAGAATGACCACATGAATATCCCAAATGTGCATAGTTGTACAGCTATGAAGAGTGAGAATTAGGACATTGATTCAAGGAGTTTGGGAGATTTTGCCATAAAATACAGGATTAATTAAAAACTCCTATTTATTTTGTCAAACAGAATTTGAACATAACCAAACACATTTTGAAATACTTAGTTTAAGTTAGATATTAAGAAACACTTCCTCGCCAAAAGGGCTGGCAAGCCCTGGCCCAGGCTTCCCAGGGAGGTGGTGGAGTCCCCATCCCTGGGGGGGTTTAAAAGTCATGTAGATGTGGTGTTGAGGGACATGGTTTAGTGGTGGACTTGGTAGTGTTAGGTTAATGGTTGGACTTGATCTTAAAAATCTTCTCCTATCAAAATGATCCTATGATTCTGAGATATTAAAAAGACTGCAGGACTGCTTTAAATCTCCCTGCACCTGAATATTCAGCAGTTCAGCTTATACCTGTGCTGAGAAGATTTTACAGTACAGTGATGCTGCCAATGTTTTAAATGCCTATCTGCCTCCAAACCAGCATGTCCCAGAGGCAGGTACGATGCATACAGGTGTGGCAAAAGATTAAATGACAAAAGCAAGCAAACGTGTTTCTCCAAACACAAACGCTCCAGGAACAGGCCAGGCAGGAAGCATCAGAGCCCTACACATTTAATCCCCATCAGGAAGTTTACTGAATGAATTGGTAACTAATCTCAAGCAAAAATTAATTAGTAGTAAAAAGAGAGGAGCGGATTCCATCAGAAAAAGAGACACCTCTTTTGTCTCTTTTTGTCCAGAAAAGTCACCTCCAGAACTGGTCAGACCTCATCTTGCTTGAAAACAAACACATGAATACTCAGAACTCCACCAACACAGAGCAAAGGCTAAGCAGCAGTGCTCTGATACCTGGGCTCAGGTATAATGTCCTTTGACATATGGAAAAACATCCTATAAAGAGTCATTTAAACTCCATTCCTCAGAAACTAACCAAATCCAGAGCATATTCCAGCTATATTTCACTTTCAATCAGCCCTGTGCATTTCAGTTAGTCTTTGCCTTTTTCAGTGACTACTGTGCTGACCAGGGCAGAGTGCTTTCAGCAGGTTATTAACTCATGGTGCTGTCCTTGGAGACTTCACATTTATCTGTTGGCATCAAGCAGGAGAAGAGTCTGTTGTTGCTCTGGGCTCCTGCTGTCTGTCAGTGGGGCAGACAAAAGGCTGGCACAGTTGTGGACTGACCTGATCGTCTCTATGACATCCTGCTCCCCTCCCAGTGTTCAGAGCAATTGCTGTGTGTGTATTTTAAAGATCAGGTCTGCATGGGGTGTTGTGTGAGCTGCACCTCTAAGTGATCACAGCTCACCCCACTAACTCAGCACAGCTATATTGCAGTGCAGGGACTCCACCACCACAGAGCAATTATGGTGACATAAGTCCCAGAAGAACAGCAATTAAAACCATGTGCAAAGTTTCTGTCCTTGGACTAGAGCTGTACTTTTTATATGGGCATTGTCATTTGTGAACTGCTGGTTCTTCTTCCCCCATTGCATTGCAAAAGGGAATTTCTAAAAAAAGACGTATCATGACTATTTTAGTAGAGAGTGTATAAATTTTAGGTGCCAATTTTCTTCCTGCTGCTTTGTAACAGAAACTATTGCACTAAGAGAAGTGAAAAGGACAGCTTTGATTGCATCAAGATGGCTCTCTGAAACCCTGGAGGATGGGAAAAAAAAAAGGCATTCCTTCAGTTCTCTTGGGCTTGAAGAAGCCAGGCAAAGAGAAGCTCTGGTGCCTTGTTTTTAATTTCTTTATGAAACCCTTACACGTTTCTTTTTCCTGCTTCTCGGATAAAAATACTCCAGCTCTGTTTCTGTGGGTTTTAGCAAGTGTTCATCTGGTATTTCAGTCAGATGTATCAGGTAACAGAGCCTTCCCTTCCCACTGCTCAGGTTTCAGGCTCTAGTGGTGCACAACACAGCCTCACACACCTGACGTTTGCTTTGTCTACTCCCATTCCAAAACTGATGGTTGCAACAATAACTGGGATCTTCTCTTCCATCCACTCATTCTGCACTGAAGTCCTGTCAGCTGCCTTGAGTCCTAGGAAGGGAAAAAGAGGAAAGAAACAACATAAAAAGAAGAAGAAAAAAGAAAAGAAACAAGAGAATTTTCTTCCTCCTCCCTTCCCCCATTGTGAGCCAACCCCCTCACTAAAGCTGATTGATGTACACACTCCTCTCTGCCCATGTTTAAATTGGCCTGCGATCAAGCAGGAGTCAGCAGCAGCTGTTTCTATTCCAGAGAGAAAAATTCAGATCCCTCCTGGGATCAAAGCAGTTCTTATATTTAGGCCATGCAAGACTGAACAAACCCAGCAGTTCTGGAGTGAAGGGAATGCTGTTCTGTGGAAGGCCCTGCACTCACCTCACAGGCCTGACGTGTGAGCATCAGACACCTGGCAGCCCATGCCTGGAAAGCTGTTCTCTAGGCAGCCCCAACCCAGGCCCTGAAGGTGGTACAGTCCAGTCCTACCAGCTAGCGAGAGACGCAGAGGTAGTGCCAGTACCTGCGTGATAGGCCTTGGCTTTCACTCCTCGGTGGCTCAGTTCAGTGGCCAGCTGGTCACACACGTCCCTCATCCTGCAGTACACGATGCCACAACCAGAGTACACCTGGGCACATGGGAGAGAAAGTCTGTGATGCTGTCTGAAGAGAATCAGCAAAGCTGCAGTCATTAGTATGGTGGAGACAGGAGGGGTGCCCGAAGCTCATCTCTTCTCCAAGCTGCTTCCCCAGCAACTGAGATACTGTTGCAGCACACAAGTAAATCAGTCTCCTTATGAGTCCTGTAACGCCCAACTGGGGTCCCCTAAGCCCCTCCTGGTGGGCACAAGGCAAGAAGCAATCTCCCTCCACCTTACAGGTAAACTCAGGTGCAGAGGCTATAACTGAGTTGCTGAGAGTTATTTTGGGAATTAGAGAAGGAAATTTAATACAACACTCCAAATGCTTCTGTGCACCCTCACCACACCGGAGGAGTAGAACACAATCAAACATACAATGATCACCCAGGACATGGCAAACCAAGACAGAAATGTTATTCACACACTCCTAACCCACTTTCTTTTAGACCAACCCCTTTCTGAGGACACCCCTAAAAGGAACGCAGGCTTCAAATTCTACCTATTTTACAGGAACTAAGAAACCTGCGTGAGCACTTCACTTCCAGAGACCTCTTCCTTCGCTGCCACAGACCCAACCACTGGAGGGAGGTAGATTTTGTTCAGATTTAGCTTCCATCCCCCAATGTAAAACCTACCCCAGTGGCGTTCTTCACTTCGAGCGCCTTCAGACAGAAATCCTTTAAGTTGGCGTACGGATCCGTCAGGAGCTCTTTGAACTGCACGTCGTAGAACAAGTTAGATCTGAAGCAAGGAGTCTTAAAGGTGGACAGCGGCTGCTTGAGCCGCAGC